CTCTCTCTCTCTCTCTCTCTCTCTCTCTCTCTCTCTCTCTCTCTCTCACTCTCTCACTCTCTCACACTCACACACACTTCTCTCACACACACTTCTCTCACACACTTCTCTGGATGTCCACAGAAGGAAACTCCACAATGAGGCCAAGTCGTATCACCTGAAGGCGGGATGTCCAGGTGGTCAGGACTGGAAGGTAAACTCTTGAGCCTCAATTTTGAGGTTATTAACCTACATGTATACAGTTGGTTTTGCAGAAAATCTGAACAAGAATACAATTTGACGCAAATTGTTTATTTTTGGCCTGTTTGCTGCCGCTAATGCACTTTATATTTTTCACAGCATATCATACACTAAAAGAACAATGAAGGCACAACAACTGCATCCTTCCACTTCGGATCATGTTTTTATGCTTAGTCCTGATTTTCTGAGGTCCATTTCACACATCTGGTATTGCAGCTGGTACAGCACACAGATTAGAAAATTGATAATATGTCAGTTTCATTTGGCCAAAAAACTATAGTGATTTCCATAAGTACTTCATTGTGGAACAGTGTCAGCCCTAAATGCAATTCTTGAGTTGGTGTTTCAGGTTTTGTCGAGGCCAGCCAAAACAAGGAAAGCCCAGCTATGTTGAACTTGCTCTGTAGTGCTCCCCTCAGGGGAACAGAAACACAGCTCTAAGTAAATAGTAAGGCTGTTCCATGTTTGCTAGATGCGTAATTGCAAATAACACTACGGCCATATCAACTTTATAAGGTGATATGTTAATGTCACTGGCCGCAAGTGGCCAACAAATTATTTAATGTAGTTTGAGGTTAGACCGACTTGTTTCATTGAACATTTTTTTGCAGCGGCGACCGTCCAAACATGTGTGTATAAGAGGTGTACAGCAGATCCATCATAGCCTGCTCATAAGGCCAAAAATTAGCGATAACATTCTGGCAGATATTGAGGCTTAGTGTTGACCACAGGAGTGGAGAGAGTGAACTGATATTTTCTCAAAGACAGCAGAGGAGTGAAGAAACATCTCAACACCTGTGGGGAAAGGTCACTCTCACGCTAACAAGCTACTCTCTCCCTCTACACAGACCTCCTTTGTTGCTTAAAACCTTTTTTCCCCCCACCTTCTGCTGCAGGTTGTTGCTGCAATTGTTTTGAGTTTCCAAGTTTTAAAATTCCTCGTTTTTTGGCTGCACCACACTTTCTCTGTCTGTTCTGCTTCCTCTACTGCCTCCCTGCTCTTACATTCCTTGTTCTCTAAACAGGAAAAAAAAAAGTGGCTTGTTTTACCTTTTCCACAATTTCTTTTCAGTCTGAGTCACGGACGCCCAGTCGGGAAAAAAAAGTCACTTTCTGGTATTGATTGATTAAAATGTATATTCCTGCAAATGACAGAAAATCAGTATCCCACCGCTGCCTCTGTGTTCCAGAAATATTTTAACTGGCAGCGGTGCCTGGCAAACGTAGAGCAGTCATTATAGAGACGTTTGCAATTGTGTGCTTGCATGTAATGCATTAAACAGGAAGCTCCTCCGGAGAGGCAGTTGGCATCAGAGAAAGGTCAGGCCTGTAGTGATATTAGAGGAGGATGTTTACTCGTATATTCTACTCTTGACACTCACCTGTGACTGGAATCACTCTCAAATACGCATTTGGTTCACTTCCCTCAACAAAAACTAACAAAACAACAGGAATTCAGTCACATAGAGTGATTTGTTAACTCTACCGCAGAGTCTCATGAGGCATCAGAACTGACTGTGCTCACTCAGGCCCAACAAACATTTATCCACATCTGCCCAAATTCAAGATCACGTTGAGTTATGATTGCGCATTAAACCACTGTGATGCAACAAACAGAGAGATTCAGTGCTACTGCTCCCTTCCAAACACAGACAGTCTGTACACAAAACCCCACCCACACACAGACCCTTTAAACATACTAGTGTTGTATCTGATTTTCAACATTTGTTTTGAAGTTCGGCCGTGAAAGCCACAGTGCTGAGTTGCCCTTTTAAGAGACAAAAAGGTAACACATGGTGGAAACCATGATTTGTCTCTCATGTTTTGACCACACTTGATTTATTGTGCTAAGCTGGGTTTGGAGACTCCTTTAAACCAATTTTTTCCCCCTGCTTTACCGCTGCCCTGCCTATTGGCTTTGGCAGGAATATCCGCTCATTGCGTTCAACCTCTGTGTGATTGACAGCCCTTGTGTTTGCCACTGGACCTACCCAGTGCAGCCCAGAAATCCACTACATTAAAACACAATGTTAAGCATCCAGGGCTGGGAATGTGTGTTTACAGTTAAAATGTCACTTCTGATCACCTTGGTAATTGTGAAACAGAGGTCATTCTGTGCACTTCGTCTTACATCTGTTGCTGAAGGCAAATAAATGTTGCTGTGTCAGTCACCGCTGCCTCCCATCTGACTGACCCATGTGCTCCAGCTTGTGCAGAGTTTGCATGTTCGTGGCTTTCTCAATCAGGTGAATTCTTATTTTGTATAGTTAAAAGAAGATAATCAGTAATAATAACATTATAGTCACCAAGTTCATTGCTGCGATCTGGAAACACAGCAACATCTCTAAATAGAAGTCCAACAGGGCCAGATTGATGAGGGGTCAGACAACCATACAGGTTTAAAATAATGACTTCCTGGCTTGACTTTGACCTGCTGTATTTGGCACATTTGTGCTTGCTCACAGCTTTTCTTTGCAATGAGTGAATGTTACCAACATTTTGGACGTTTTGATAAATAGCCAAACTGTTGGTGGCCAGGCTACCAGGTTTCAGCAGCTACTTTCTTGAGTACAATGCTGTTATAAGGGATAGAAATGATAGCCAGCAACAAAAATAAGTTACAAAAACCATGTTGAGATTTGTTCCAGCTTCTTGTGACCCTGTAGGTAAAGCAAATTAATATTATGAATATATAATTAGCAGCAATTACAAGAACCTAGAACCTACTTACCAGCCAACTGTTGTGTGTGATGCCTTTCATGCTTAATCTGTAATGTCATTGATTTGTTTTAGTTCTCAGGCACAATGGAATTAGTCAAATAAATTGAAATCATATTACTTAAGATGTGCTCAGGCAATTATAGGAAGGGATGATGAGGTGTTGATTTGATCGCAGGCTACAGCAAACCCCAATGCATCACCAGAACTAGGCCTACACTGGCCTAAAGACACAGGAGACAAGAGTTTGCACACTGCACCACTCCACCCATGAAGCTCAGAAAAACCTGCTCTGTAGTTTGCATCAGGGACAAGCTCATTTTCACCAAAACTAAAGAGAAAGTAAACATACATACTCTTTGGCTGCAGCTAAAAGAAATGGACAGTACAGTGTATACATCCACATTCATACAGCTTTTTCCTTCTCGTCTCCTCCCGCTCCTTTTTTCTGGTAATTTCCGTAAGGTACACATATTTTCTTAACATGTATATCTGATCTTCTGTCATTTTCTGTGAATGCTTTGTGACATGTGTACATTGTGCAATTGCTGCTTGTGGGACAGTTTGTAATTAGTGGTCTGAAGCTCACAAGAAAAAAAAGGGCATTTGAGTTATTTTTCCACATGGAGCACATACATACAAACAGACTGCGGACACACATGCACACACACACACTGGTCCAAACCCCCCTGATTACACACACATTGAGCATTGTGTTCCAGGTTTAATTTTTTACACAGGGACATCTCCACTTGCGATTCATTTCAGCAGAAAGGAACACAGCTGGAGCCTCTGGGACGCAAACATTACCGTGGCAGTGACCACGACGCACACACGCACACATGGAGCAGCGTTGGGCATCATTCAGAAAGAGTGAAAAGCATACCTTGCTCTAAGTGACGTCTATTCTATGATTGTAGTTTCTAATAAACATGTCGTTTTTCTACCTTTCTGTAGTCACATACTTCCACTTTATCCCAAAAACATGTAACTCTACTTCTCGGCATGTCTAAAGGTTGAGCAAAATAATCCATCACTGTGAATATTGTGTTTTCATTTATTTTCTTCAGCGTTTCACTGGACACAGAAAAGCTTCATATTTTGAATTGTATGATGACCTGTGATTTCAGAGACCCCACGTTTGAATGGCCAGACAGTAAGTACTGTAAATAGTATGTTTGGTTGCATATGGCATGAACATGTCGTTAAGAGTTGTCAAATATAGTGAGCAATCTTCAGTAGGATCCTTTCTCTGCTGTACAAACTTCAAAATAGCTGAAATGCCACAACCCATTTCAACACACAATGTATAGGAAAAGATACAAACTGGACTCACACAACCATATCTTTGACAATAGATGACTGCATTGTTATTTGGTTTGTGGAGATTAGGCAGGTGAATGTAAGCAATAGGGTCGAAAACACAGCTATGTGCTTTTAAAGCGTGCAATTTTGATAAACACTTGTGGATCTTACTGTTCATGCAAACTCGGAGCTTACATATAATAAGTTCAAGTCTGACCCAAGAGTGTGATTCAAACTACAAAAAAGGTTTCCGCTCTCTCCTTACAATAACATCTTTACAGCCACCTCAGTTCAACCTCTTTGACATTTTTGTTAGTGAACAATTCTGCGTAAATATTCAAATATTGGCCGTGATCTTGGTCTCTCTCGCTCTCTCCTCAACTGAGTCTTTGGCTGACACAGAGAGCATGACAGCATCGGCGACGTGCATCCAACAGACATCCGTAGTGAGTAATTTTAATTGCTGCAACACGTCCATCATTGTTTGTTTAGTAGTTTTTCATGCTCTGATGCCTCTTGGTTTTCATTAAAAACATCTCAGTCTCTAAATCTCAACTGGAGTGTTTGATATTTACAGGTGGCATCTGTGGTTTGGGTCCAGCTCATTAGCAGGCTCGGGGACTGATGTCAGTCTGGTGCTGTTTCCTAAGTGGAATGTGTGAGGTTTTTGGCCAAATATTTCAAAAATATATAACACTTGCCTCAGCGAGTGAATAGGGAGAAATCCATAAATCATCTCACAGTCGGGGCTCGGCCAACACTGGATGAATCTATCCTCTGCTATGACGGTGGTTGCAGTCTAACTCTGGATGGGATGATTGTGTTGTGCAGTTTCTGCAGTGCGGAGAAGAGAGGAAAGGGTCGTCAAGTTATCATTAACATGAAATATTCTTAGTTGATGTTTACTTAATATTTACACTTCATAGGATAAATCTGGTGATATTTTCCCTTAAAAAAATTAAATCTGCAATGAATTGACCCTATTGCTCTGTGCCACAGACCTCTGTTGTTGTTCAAATATCATTAAAAACACAGTGAGTGACACGTTTCTTCATTTCAATGAACTTGGATAATGCAGTATAATGTAGTAGCACACCCAATTTGCAGCTGAAAGTGTTTCCCAATAAAAACACAATTTACTCCTGTTTGAGTAACATTTGCTAAAAACTACAGTGCCCAGTTAAAGGAAATCATTTATAAGAAATTAAGGAGACTGACAATAACATAATATGGAATATCACCAGCCTTATCCTATAAAGTCTGATATTATGTTGGGAAAAAAAATATTTCAGAAAAAATCATGGTCCTTTAAAATCCACATCGTCTTGGCCATGTCCCATTATTTTCATGTAATTGGTGAAATAAGCATGAAAGGATAAATTTGGAATTCATATTCACAGTAAATACTGAAAGCCAATGCTCTTTTAAAATTTACAGTGTAAAATTTGTGCCAAATTATTTAAAAATTGCTAAATAAATTATGTTTGCACCTTCCGGCTACTGTACTTAACATAAATAGAACTGAACCTGCCTATTCTTGTGCTCACGCACACATACACGTGTGTTTATATTCTTCAGTGTGCTGAATTATTATTAATAGGTAACAAAGCATTACCTACCATCGGAGACAGATGTTCCTCTACCCGACTGCCTCTTTGGGCACAGCACACTCACACTCACACACAGAACCTAAAGTTCGGAGACCTGGTCTTCCTCAGCATCCCAAAAAGCCCATAATAAGAATGAGAGGGACATTGTAAGGATTAACATAGTGGCATTGTGGACATACAGATGGGGTCTCAGCGTGTCTCTCAATGTAGTCTGTGGAGCCAGTAGATCTGTCTGCTGTACTGTATGTGCAGAGGTTTATACGCTCCAGCTCCACTTATTGACTTGGCCTCAGTTCAGGTCCCACTAAGGTAAGTGCCAGGTGATGACGTGAGGGCTCCGCGGGTGTGACACAGATAGTTCTGAACCCCGTAGCTCCCAGCGAGCATGCTCCTTGTGTGTTTCTTTACAGTCCAGAGGGGGCCGGGAGCCAAGAGGTGATACATAGCAGCGGTGAGGAGGGGGCAAGGCCGTAAATAACTGATGGAAAACAATAGCAGAGATCCACAAAGGAGAAGGAGTAGATGTGGAAGTGAAAAGTTTGCTCCGAGAGTTTTTGTACATCCCCATTTAGCAGTGGAGAGAGTTGGGAAGGGGAGGAGAGAGTGACGGCTACAGTAGTCCAGTCTGGAGATGGATAGAGACGAGTGGTAGTACAGAGACGGGGAGCATCCAGAAAGAAAGGCCTGAACGCTTGCGTTCCCCAGAGGACCGCGTCCCCCCAAAGTAAGCCACCTGGGCTGTAGAGAAAGAGGCAAAACAGAGGGCAGGGGAAAGTTAGCCAACATCTGCGTCGTTATGGCTGAAAGAGAGCTCATTCACATCGGGGAGTTAGTCATGCAAGACAGCGGGGTGCAGAGAGGGGACACGGTCAGAGGAATGCTAGCACCTCTAAGCCTTTACTGAAAACCAGAGTAATTAAGGCAGCTTAAGGCATCTCATTCTCTGGCAGTGCTTGCTTTGTTCTCCTGATCTTTGTAATCCAGCTAAGTCTACGCCAACTCTGCCAGGACCACTCACCCACACAGGCTGACCCATCATCGTTGGGCTCAAAGCCCTGGTTGCATCTCCTCTTGGCGCGGCACTTATAGCTGCCATAGGTGTTGGTGCAGACAGGGCGGTCAGAGGGGCACACAGTAGGAAACTGGGTACACTCATCTTCATCTGAGGGAGGGGGAGGGGAGGGGAGGGAGGGAGGGAAAGAAGTTTTTTGTCTTGATTCAAAACAAGGAGACAAGCATAGAGTGGTTAACAGAAGCATCTTTGTGTCTTACCTGTGCAACGGCCATTCTCATTCAGTGCAAAGCCGTGACCACACTGTAAGACACAGTCAGTCTAATTAGAAACAAGAATGTTTTTGAATAAAAAAAATCCATGAAACTCACTATGGATAGTTTTTTTAAATATGATTATACAGACGGGTGACAAATAAATGGAAAAGCTGATGAAATGAGTGGAGAAACATAACTAATGCAGATGCTTTCATTCAGATGCTTTAATCCTACAATGAAATATTTCTGTGGTGACCCCTCAGTGCTCCCTTCCAACATGACAATGCCCTCATCCACAGGACAGGAGAGGTCACAGTTTGATGAGTATGGAAATTGTGTGACTCATAAAGCATGCCATGGCCTTCAGTCACCAGATCCCAACTATACTGAACACCTCTATGAGATTTTGGCGTGATATGTTAAGACCTGATTTGACTTAACACAATTTAAGTGGGAAATATGCAACACATAGTAGAGGACAAACCTTAAATAATCAGGGTATTGAAACTAGACTTTGACTCGGGGATTCTCTTCAACACAAGAGTAAATAAAGCAGATAATGCACTTAACATGTCAGTTGATATTGTGCTTCAGTGGCGCCAAAGAAGCACATTCTCCGATTTTGCACATAGGGGCTAAACCTGCAAAACGATCTTTGAGATGATGAGAATTAAGTACCATGAATGACCGCTCTACCTCTATTTCCACAGTAGGAGTGACTTCTTCCTCATCTCTTGGATAGTGGATCACCAGCACCGTGTTGACGTCTGAAGGCTCCAGGGGTCGCGCAGCTGAACGACCGTCTGGCCAGTACACCTCGACATTGGTGGCAACATCCTTACCTGGGCAGACAAACAGAACAGACGCAACACACACAGAGGAACATTCCTTTAGTCATTCTCAAGGGCTCATAAAGCTTCCTCTCTTGTTCACTGACACAAACACAGTGAGAGACAGAGCGGCACTCTTCTCTCTCCATTAACTACTTTAATCAGGCATAGAGACAGCCCCTCTCCAGAGGGCCTCTGCAGCCCTTAATTAAAGTGGCATTTCTAATTCAAACAGATCTTGAGTTACCTTGCCAGGCAGAGATCTACACAGCAGGTGTTCTGCCTGAGAGCCAAAGAATAATTCACCTGTTTTCCACCCGTGGGACACCCTCTGTTGTGAGGAATCATCAAGCATTCAAATTGAGGGGCCTCCAATTGGACAGTCCTGATACAGAACAGGGACAGGAGGCAGCGGTGGCTGAGCTGCCAGGCCAGGTTGACCATCAGCTGACAATCTTATGGGGGCAGAAGGAGACAGGGACCTAGTTTCTCTCAAACCAGGACAGCTTCCAGCTGCAGCACCTGTCCACCATCTCTTTTGTCCCCCGAGCTCCCTCCCACAGACAACTTAGTCTCCCATGGGTGTCCAGTCAGGCTGGAAGTATTAAAACAATACTTTCCACACCGAGCTGTCCTTCTCGCTACTACTCTCTGTTCATTCTGTCTATTTCCCTTTTCTATCCATCCCTTACACAGCTAAAGCAAAGAGCATTGCTTGAATGGTAAGTTAATTAATCGATTTATCAATCAACAGAGACTTAGTCAACAACATTAAGTCTGTTATGCAAAAAATGGTTGCTGGTTTCAGCGACTCAAATTCAATTTACTGCTTTTCCCAAATTGATATGATTGCAAAGTGAATATCATTGGGTTTTAGAAAACATGCAATCTGAAGATGTCATTAATAGGCTACAGGTTCAGGACAGTCAGCTAATTTGTTGAAATTAAAACTTACCTAGGCCAAAGTGGGCGACAGGCTCCATCTCACACAGGTACCCCGAGCCACCGTCGATGATCCGTGTGTGCGGGCCGCTCTTTTTAGTGTACAACACCACTTTAGCTCCTCTGGCAAAAGCACCAAACTTGGTCTTGGGAATCACTCGCAGCCAGGCGTTTGTAGTCCCCTAAAACACAGACAGAATGAGAAAAGGGAGGATTGTGGTTAAGATTACACTACGCTGATTTTGAGGCTTTTAAAATGTCTCGCAAACACTCACCTGGTTGACTTTGTAGACAGAGAGCGGCTGTGCTGCACTTTCCCCGTGAGAAATCAGCAGTTCCAGACGGCCATCACCGTCAAAGTCTGTGGCTACAGCCCCTGTAACGATGCAACTAAACACTTCAGGAAACATACCTCCATAACATTTATTGTCCTTATGCAGGGGAGAATAATGTTTCAACAGTCATAGAACTAATTATGTGGAACAAGTCTTTTTTTCTTTTTGTGGAGCTCTGGTGCCATCTACCGGTGAGATGTTGGAATAGCAAGTATGAGGTCGTTGTAAGACGGCTGTCTGTTCTGCCACTCACCGGTTCCTCGTCCTTCGGGCTCTGATGCGTCTCCAACATTCAACTCTTCTATTTGGGGGTCTCCATGCTCTCTCCTGCTCACCCTATCAAATCAATATCACGGCAAGTACTCATCAAAACAGTGTCAAAATATAACAAACTGTTAGTAAACTACCAAACAAAACCTAAAGTTGGTAAAATTAGTTCCCCTCAATGAGTTGCAACATTGAATTGTTGCTTTCATGTTTATCAGTGCTAATACTCCATTAATGTAATTTATAATAATATAATACCTAATAGGGCCCTACATTTTGCTGACAATACTTTAATACTTTCATTCCTCTTTACATCAGAAATACATACATTTTTTTGCCTCTTTTGTATTTAATACAAGAGGGAACCACTTCTTATATGATTATTAGTATGTGTTGATCCATACTTAATAAAATATGCTATCTTAAATAAATAAGTATTGATTTTGATGTATTGATTTTTTACTAATTTATTTTTCAATAATATTGTTTGTGGTTTCATTGGACTGTAATTGTCATCTTCCTAAAAAACATTTGGTCAAAAGTTGTAGTTTTTAATTACGCCCTTGATTTAAGTTCCTTCAGATAGACATTAGTTAGAAGAATTCATGCACATTGACTTTAGTACCTTTACCTTTAGTGACAAAGCATGTCTATATCCAAGTTTCCTCAAGTTATAATTTAATTTCACAGTGCAATAATGTGCTGATCCTGCCTGTTAAACCCTTCAGCCCAGCTAAATATTGATTAGTCGTATTGTAGCTTGGGCACAATAACTTGAGCTTTCCAGTGCCCAGGAGCAGAGTTATATTAGCTGATTCATCTTCACACTATAGAGCCACAGGCTGCGGAGCAGTGAACCCTGTCGGACATCATCGTGTCCAGAAAGACAAATTCTCCACCAGTGACCTCGCCGGCAGGAATATTCAGATCCAGGAAACCTCTGGGGCTTACACTGATTATTGATATTCAATATGAATTGACCCACCAGCTCATGGCAACTTTCATCATTGCTTCTGCATCCTGTTCAGAAAAATATGCCAATTGAGATTTCTATTCAGACAGGATGGGTTTATAATACTATTAAGACCTAACAATTCATATCTCATGTACTGTATTGCATTTTGAAGGCTGAGTTCATTAATATTATCTAGAGAGGAAGCCAAACCGTCATCCAAAAAGAGACCTAAAACTGTCTTAATGAAAGATTCATTCATGTGTGGAGGAGGAGGCGGTGGGATGCCAGACTAGATAAATATCCTTGGCTGGGAATTTTATATTCTTCTCAGCTTCCAAGCCATGTTTTAGAATATGAAATCAAGACACAAGAGCAGTCCATTTAGCTCATGATCAACAAGCTATTAAACCTTAGTATCGTACTTGTATAACATGTGTATGTATGTGTGTTGTGTTATTTCTGTGTGAGAACCTAAAGAGCCTGTTGGCGGAGGGGCCCCTGTAGGCGATGTTATTGAAGAAGACCTCCATCTCGTTGTCATTGTCAAAGTCAGCAACCATGACGGTGCGAACCGGGGACGGCATAGAAAACTTCTGGGATGCAATATCCTGAGAAAGAAAGAAAACGCACGGTACATCAGTAAAACACTTGAAATGCCTTTTCAACAACCAAATTGTAAACAGACTTGACCTGTACTGCAGGTGTATGAATCATCAAAATGTTTCTTCATTGCAATGCAAAGGACATTTACGTCACACCTAAACTTCTTGGTTTCTCTCATATTATTCAGTTGGTTTCTTTGGGTTTTTTCCCCTTTCTGAATGAATGTAAATTAAATATATATTATCATCACTTTGGGGTTAGAGAAAGGTTTAGGGTTATTTCATAATAATCCAACACTTTAATAAAGATACAGTAAATTTCCTTTTTCTTACTCTATATGCTGATGACAGCATATTCTAAAATTCTATATTAGTATTTATTTCTTCACTGGGGAAGATGAGTTTCATAGACAAAGTGTAACGCAGGGTGTAAGTGAGATTTATGCTTGCCGCATCCATGAGTGTCGCAAGTGTCCACGCGGCCAAAGTGACGTCACTCCTCCGCGAGGGTTCCTTGTGGTCTGTTCCAAAGATCCCAAAGTTTCCTGTCACGGTTCCACGTCAGCACATGTCCGTATGGAAAGTAAAACCGAAGCTTCAGACCATCCCAGAGACTCTCACGTATCAGATGATTTTCACTGGAACCTGTTGTTATTACAGCTTGCATCCTATATGTGATGCTAGTTGAGTGCTGTGTTCACACTACAAGCAATAAAAGCAACTAAATCCGCCTAGCGTGGCCAGCTACATTGTTGCAAGTTGCCGTTGAAATGTTGATCAAGCGCTCGTTGATGTGGTTATGTTGCACTGGGAGCAAGCTAAATGCATTTTTTTAGATGGAATGGAACGGGGTAAAACAAAATCATATGATTGGTTGATGCTTCACCGCGTCATTGGAGCGCTAAAGAAAAGTTGAGACCAGCAGAACTTTAGTTTTGTAGCGCGTCGCGCCCGTCACGTGTCGGGTGTCAGCTTGCAGCTTCATGTCACCGGCTTCCATTGAAAATGACTTGTAGCCTGGTGCTATGTCACCCGTAGAGTGAGCACAGCATTGGTGGCGAGAGAGACTGTTCCATAACATGAAGGTCACAAGTTCAATCTCCTCAACATTGTCCATCAATAATCAGGGTCCAGTCCTTGAGTTCGACGTTGATCTGTCATCTGCTCACTCACTCACTCACTGTAAGTCACCCTGGCTGATAAAGTCTAAAGATAAAAACAAAGGCCTTTTTTTTCTTCTTTTTTTTTTTACATCCTTTGGCATCAGAAAGACTGCTGTCCCGAAAAAGTCTCCTCAGCAGAGGAGTTTTTGCACAAGAAAGTAACGGATATCTCTCTGCTTCAGTGACACGGTGATAAGTCGGGGAAGAGTTATAGAGCAGCCCTTCACTCCCTCCAGTATTTACTCCCTGTTTTAATTATAAGGCTCATAAAGCGGGGCTAGGGAGGGCTCACAGTGACCTTCTGCTTCTCAGGTGAAGGAGAGGGGATGGCCAACTGAGGGCCACAAGGGAGGGCCAGTTCTACATTTACTTTATTACAAGGTGGATGAATCGATGTTCCATAAGGAAAGAGAAAGGGACTCTCACCAAATGAATATGAAGCACAGAAACCTAAGATTTAAAGACTTTAAAGAGGGGAGATGGTTTCAGAAAAAAAATAAGATTTCTTCCAATAATATTTTTTTTAATATTAAATGAATAAATGATATTGTAAATGTGTTTATTTGAAAGCATGCACGTATAATATAGTACTTTATTACTGTTTGATTATTTGGAATAATCTCTTTAAATACTTACTATATATGTGTGGGTGTGCTTTTTTATGTGTGTTAAACCTACTGCAAGGAAAACCTCGGCAATAGATTTTAATTAAAGCACAAACAGGCCTAATCTGCACTTTCTACGGCCCAGGCAAGCTGCTGTTTCAGCCCAATTTAATTAGCGGTTTACTGGAGTGATACAACAGCTTCATTATATATGCCAAAGGTCAACACGGCTGGTAGGAGTGTCAGCTTGTGCGGGGGGAAGGGGTCTTAAATGCGCTGTGGATTTGTGATTTAACAATCTTGGTTTAAAAAAAACAAAACATTGGCTAGATAATTCAATTTGTCTTTTGTGTGTTTGTGTGTGTGTGTGTGTGTGTGTGTGTGTGTGTGTCATACTGATGGAATTGTCTCTGGGCTAAGCATCACACATTAACCCCTTATTTGACCCCTATAAAGATGTCTCGTGTGGGGTTTATCTCTTTGCGAAAAGATGCAGTCGCAGCTGCTGACAGATAAATCACCGAGCACGAAACCTCCGCAGATTTACACGCAGCAGAGGTGCTATTAACCGTACTACGCGAGCACATGCACACTGCTGGCTGTCTCACTGGAGTTGTCTATAGTCGAGTTGATTGAGTAAATCACCATCCATCCCTCTTTAAATCCCACTCAATCCCAAAGTGAGCCAGCACCGACTCGTGCTAATTCACAAGCCATCTGTTAGCATTGATAACTCTCGTGATTCTCAGAGTTAATAGGTGGGGCTTGTCGTCTTTGTGCTGCTTGTTGATTAGACATTGATTCTGGACAGAGAAGAAGAGAGAGAACCACAACCTCACTCTGACATGCCTCTGCCTGATATCCTGAGAGGGGAATCGCTCGACACAAAGACCGTAGACTCTAAATGAGTACTGGTTACTCTTGATTATCCACAGAACGACCTGTGAACAGTTTTCATGTGTGTGACAACATGTGCGTTTGGTCATTTGGGTCAACTGGTAATAAAGGCCTCAATATGCTTCAAACAACGTGCTTGTCAGTTTGTCTGGTGACGTCTGAATATGGAGGGGGGGGGGGGGCTGCATCTGAATAATTTAAAACTTTTCCAAAACCAACAATCAGACAATCATGCCTAATCTACGCAGCTACTGGCCTGGTGTGTGAAGGTGTGAGAGTTCTCTAAAGCCCCTCTTCATATAACTGCTTCCGTCAATTTTTTGGGTGTGTAACTGAACTTGTCAGACCTTATCCCTTTTCATTGTTGTTTTACCGGCAGCCTTGTCACCTTGCTTTTTAATGTGAACATTTGGAACAAATAATTGTGGCGCATCAACCAGCCGTGTTTGTTGAAAGCATACTGAGACCGTAGAGTGATAGTGATTCAAGACGTTTTCGTTAAACTATTGGTGTCTTGTGCATTAGCAGTTGTTAAATACCCAGGATCGACTGTACCCACCTTGAACTTCTGTTTGCGGTTATTCAGCTGCATATACAGGCGATGAGGTCCATTCCAGTTCCCATAGACGATATCTGTCTTGCCGTCACGGTTGAAGTCTGCCAGAGCAACCCCTCTGCCATGCTGCATTGGGTCCTCCACGCCTACAGGTATATGGTAATACACTCTATCAAACAATAAAGCCTACCTTGTGTTCTGTTTTTGCAGAATGTGTCTGTGATTAACTGATCCAAGGCTATGATCTGTTAAACTGTACATGTTCCTCTTACCAGCCAGCTGTGCCACATCAGTGAAAGTTCCATCTCCGTTGTTCCTAAACAGGAAGTTGGGACCGTACTCGTTGACGCAAAACACATCGGACAGGGTTTGACTGACAATGGGCCCCACCACGACACCTCGCCCTCCTGCACAAACGGAGACAGAAGGACAAGGCTGAACGGGTAAGAGAAAATGAGTCCGTTAAAAAGAGTGTGAACGGACTGTTTTAGTAAAATTGAGGCAGGATAGGTGAAACAATGGAGTGAACAGAGGGAGAGAGATCAGCGCCACAACAAAAATGAACAGCGAGAGATCATTACTGTCTTTCCAGACCATTTCCTCTAAGCATGGCAGGTCTCTACTGACACAGACACTGACTCTGATAGGCTGCACACACACACACACACACACACACACACACACACACACACACAGATAAACACATCTAGGCTGAAGCGCAAACAAATAAAAAGAATGCAAAGACGCAACACATGCTGAGAATCTTTTGTGTTAACCAAAAGCTAACAGTAATTTTCTTATGAAAAGATCTTTGTGACTGTTCTACACTCTCAATATCGCTCCAGGATTTTTCCAATGACATTCTATGAAGTGAAGTGTCTCCCTAAAGTGTCTCATCTGAGACCTGCGGAGTCTAATTATGGAGTTGAAAGGGCTTTGATTGCCCTTCCAGTATGCAGAGTCAGTGCTGTGAGTCAGGACTCACTACTGATTTACTGGCCCGCTCCATCAGCCCAGACAAATATCGCTCGCCCCCTATGGCCATAAACCACTAATGTCCCTCCAGAGATATGTAACCATTAGATATGCAACTTCGCTGCCTGTCCCTCTGCTCTGATTAACGGCGGTTTGATGACAAAGCCATCCACCGTACATCATTCACAGCAATTGTGGGCCGGCTCACCCTGCCCCTCTGGTGGCTTAGATGACATCTTGAATGTAAAAAGATCCATTGATGAAGAAGATTGATTCTGTTATGCTCAAATACAAAGTCATCTCCCATTTCCAAAATTTACTTGGACATCAGCGTCAAGGACTTTTCAGTGGTTACAATAAAGTATCATAGTGGCAGCGCTATTATCAAAGACACAAATCACAGTGAAATCATTCATTTTGGCATTTATTGTTCTCCTCTTCGATACCAAAACAGGTATCCATCACAGGGTTAAGTGAAATGTTGATCCAACTGAGCAGAGGTGCGGTGATGAATTTCAGTGCTGCTTGTGAAGTAAAAACAATCTATTTCAAGGTTATCCATTTAGTTTCAAAAGCATTTAAATGGCAGTTCAGATTTTTATTTTCTCACAAAAACAAGAGCTTTTGCATCTTAAAAAACAATTAAAACACATTCAACATTTTAGTCAAGAGTAGCCGTTAGTTTAGTGATGACAATGCAAACAATAAAAATACAACAAATGATCAATGATGGTGCAAAGGTTTCGGTGGGTGTGCGAGGCAGTTTATGGCATGTGTGCAAATGGAATAAATGAAACCGTTACACTTAGTTTTTAGACGCCTGTATCTTCCTTAAAGAGAGGATTATGTGAAATTGCTCAAATGGATACGGCTTTTTGGGTGAATTGTCAACTAGAAATGTCCGACAGGGAAGGATGTTTCTCACCAGTGATTTTACTGGCGACTCAAACCAATCAGTAGGAGGGTCAGGAGAGATTCTTTGACCAATATTTTAAACAACATCAGCCACTTCCTGTCAACATTAAAAACCTTTAATCTCTGCTGAAACACTTTCAAACTGACTGAGCTGATAAAATGCACATACAATACTCTGCATTGTAGTGACGTACGTAGTTGTATCCATACCTTTAAAAGTCTGGGGTAACCACAGCAGGCTGTGATGGATGCCATCTCTGGGCCGTTGAGCTGGTCTGATGTATGTGTGTGTCGCCCTTCGCCTTCGCTTCCGTGTGACTTTGGCTGGAGTAAACAGCTGACAGGGCCAAAAGAGCCCACTAACACTTTTCTCTCTCTCTCTCTCTCTCTCTCTCTCTCTCTCTCTCTCTCTCTTTCTTTTCTCACGCTTACACTCATCTTGTTCTCTTTCATCTCTTGCTTCTTTCTTTTTTTCCTCACCTGGCACCCCTCCAGCACCCTCACTGTACTGAATCCTATATTTCAGACTCCATGGGTACAGCAAGCACATGCTCTTAGCATCCGCTACAGATGTCTGTGTAAATCAGAATGAAAGTCCAGTAGTGCTGGATGAAGGTCTACATCACACACACACACACACACAGACACAGTCATTTCAGCATACCTACCAGTGAATTTATTGACTCCGGCCTGCTCTGCCACATTGGAGAGGGCAATGATGCCCTGTGAAAGATCACTGGCTGCCTCATCCATTTCAATAAGAGCATGAGGACCCACGTTGCCACTGGCATAGTTGGCTATGTAGATGGCATACCGGCCTGTACCCTAGAGGAAAAAAACAAAAGGGTTTACATTTAGATTTGAAAAATTCCAGAATTTGAAAATACCTGCAGCTCTCCCTTCTTTGTCCTTAGCTCCTCCCGCCAGACAAACAGCCATATGCACACGCTTCATACAGTAACCTGTATAAGTGCTAGTCATTCATTTCAAACATCATCCCAATATTTTTGTGAACCCCCCCCCCGTCCCGTCCCTTCCACTTCCTTTTCTGTGGCTCTCAAGCATGTAAATCTGGCCATGAAGACATTCTTTCATTCAAAACTGATTTTTTTCTGTCAAATTTGTTGCATTGCTTTCAAATCGTTGTTTGATACATTGTTGGAAAATTCAATTATAGCTAAATACAAAGTTGAGCTCAGTAGCTCTAAGTAAACTAAAACATGATTACGTTATGTTATTTGAACATCTATTTTTTGGGGCTATTTTTGTGAATATTATGCACGGTTTCACCTTCTCCCAATCAACCCTTTTCTTCCCCTTTATCTCCCTTTACCATGTTTCCTACGTTTTACACCCTCTCTCTCTCAGTCTCTCTCCCTACTCCTTCCTCTGCCTCCCTTTGGAGATTAATTTCACACTCCATTATCAGTCAGAGTCCCTGCAGACACAAACTCACAGACGGAACCACACTAATAGACTACACACTGGATTCCAATGAGCTTTCCCACCAGGCCTAACATATTTCAATCAATACAAACACATGCACATATGCAAACACACATATATACACACCATTTCACTGATAACTGTACTGTATTTTTACAAGACAAGAAAAGTAAATGAGTCTAGTTGATGTAAATGTCATGAAGCGTCACATTATGGCCTGCTGAGGTGGGAGCACACACACACACACACACACTTACATGAGAATGAATGAGAATGAACTACAACGAAAGACCTGAAGGCCACTGGCAGTTACTTAACAAACTTAAAAGTCAATGATTTTTCAATAAGTCTTCACCCAAGGCTAATTTCTGTCACCGGAATTGGCATTGTGAATAGTGTGGCGTGCATGCCTGCAAAGTGCATGCAGGTGCAGGTATATGAGACTGTGTGCCCTTTACATCAGTCTTTACAGCTATCACTAAGAAGCCTGAATGAGCTATTACCTCTAATGTAGCATTTCCATTTTTTGGTTTTGAAAGGTGCTTCTTATCGAGCTCATTTCAATTAATCTGGCTTTTTTAAATCCACTTATCAGAATCTCGCTCTTGCCTGCCAGTGCAAAGTGAACTGATCAATCAGTTCAAAGTGAGTCCCCTCAATATGTCACATTCATCACTTTGTATAAGACTAGTGATGGGACGTCACTTTCAAGGAGACTGGGAGGGATGAAACAGTTGGAGGACCAATTATCCCTCTTTTTTCTGAATGATAACACAGTATTTATGAGTAGACCCAACACAACCTAGCCGATTATACAACCTGCTTCGGTTTTGGCCTATGCAACCCTCTGTCGTCGTTCCAAATCTGTTGTAATAATACTTGCTCAGCAATAGGAAAATATATTCTCTCTCTCCGTTAGTCTGCATGGAAGAACACACATCAGGGGTTTGGCTTCCTCTAAAAGCATTATGCCATTAAAAGCAAATATCTTTCCAATCAGTCTGGCAGCGGCACAACCTATTCATGTTCAGTGAGATGGGACTCTGGTTAAAAAAAAAGAAAGATCTATTGTAATCCATACCGTCCTCTTCCAACTATCACTTTCTTTATCCCGTCCCCTGATTGGAAGTGAGAACTGTATGCGCGTGTGTGAGATAAGAGACAAAGACTGAGTGTGTCAGTCAGAGGGAGTAAAAAGGGAGTAAAGGAGGGGGAAAGAGGGAAGAAAACAATGGAAAAGAGACCGAGAGAAAATGCTACGGGCAGAAAGCAGTAGTGTGCAGTCATCACTCCTCCCCTCGTACGATGTTCTATAAAACAAACGAGCCCTGGTTGCTGTAATTACACTGGTGCGATGGACAGAAGAGAGAAAATGGCACACCATTCCGCCAAATGAACTGTCATAGCACATGCAGAGAAGGGCGGCGTAGGCAGGGCATGAGTTATCACTGGTAAACAAACAGAAGCAACCATGCATGTACGCAGAAGACACTCTGGGGAGTGTGTGTGTGGTGTGGATCTACATATACTCTACTTTTTATGTGTGTGTGTGTGTGTGTGTGTGTGTGTGTGTGTGTGTGTGTGTGTGTGTGTGTGTGTGTGGTGTGGATCTGCATATACTCTACTTTTTATGTGTGTTTGTTTGTGTGTGTAGTACCTTTCTGTCCACACAGGCCACTGAGCGCCCAGCCATTCGGTTGGCCACATCTCTGTGTTCGTTAATGTCATCGTTCAGCAAATCTTCAAAGCGTCCATTACGGAACTTAAACAGCTTGTCAGAGTATGTTGCCCGACCTTGATGCGGAGAGACGCAGAGTTCAGGAGAGGCAAAGATTGTTGAGAGAGTAAAGAGGTGTTTTGTAATACAAGAACCTCGGGTGATTGGAAACACAACAGGTTGTTGGGGTTGAAAGTGACCTCTATCATTTTTATGTGAGGTGTTGTAGTTTTGACAGTGTGCACTCTGTAGCTCTCCGATTGATTAATAGCAGCACAAAGCGTATCTGTTATCTGATGAAGATAAGCTTAATATCTGCATACTGATTCTCCTGCTTTGTCACCGTACAAGAAAAGAGGCACGACTCTTGTGAGAGTGTGGGCACACATGCATTATTTTTGTGAAAGTGTACCAGTATGTGTGAAAGCGTGGACTGTACCAGAGAAGGCGTTGTTGGTGTTGAGGACATAAATCTCCTCCAGACCGTCTCCGTCGATGTCACACGCTGTCACTCCGATGGCGTTGCCTTGGCGGTCTCTCAGGGCGTAGAACGGGGAGCTTCGGTTGTCAACCGCGATGTTGACAAGCCTTTTCTGCTGCTGGTTGTATTTCAGCACCAGGTTTGGGCCGTTGTAGCTGTCAACAGGCACCAATGGCACAGCTGTTACATTTGCATTACATAAGAGGAATTTTGGAGACTAAATCATGGAGTGGAATTTTTTTGATCTACAAATCATTAGTAGTGACTAATCTTAAAAACAATGTTTATGTTTTTTTTATTGTGTAGATGAAGATCCGTAGCCTGATGGTCACTTCTTGAGGCTACACTAGCCACTGCTGACAATCGCCAAACAAACTCATATTATAATTGACAGCAAGGCCCCAAATTAACTCACTGTGTCACTGTGAACCATCAAAATTCTAAATGTTATCCTTTTACTTGGTTATAATTGAAATGATTAGGAAATAAATGATTGTATTTTTATTTAATGACTTGCTTAGATCAAAAATAAATTCTTGGCATTAATAGTTGTACTTATGTATTATAACCTGCTTAGAGCTCGTGTTACAAAGTTAAACAGATCATAACTCCCTCTGTAATATCTATTTCATGTTGCAGTGAAAAAATAACCTTCACACAAAATAACCTTTTACAAGATTACATTTGAACACATCATTATAGTGTTATAAATGACCTTTACCAAATACTCGTACTTATTTTGGACAAATTGTGAGCTTTTATCGCTGACTTTCACACCAAATGTGTGTGTGTGTGTGTGTGTGTGTGTGTGTTTGTGTTGCTCTGACGTTACGGTCTGCGCCGGTGTGTGCCAACGTAAACGCAGATCGATCGGTGCATCTCTAGTAGGAGTGCAACGCCACTCTTTGAAGTAGTTCTCTATTACTAAAATTCAAAACATTCTGCATGTTATACAATCAGTTTACATTTTTATAATTGGCATAGCTCATTTTCTTTAGGGTACCAATTAAATCAATCATCCTTCGACTGCACCAGCGTAATTGTGGCAGTTCGATTTAGGCAACAAAACCACTTGGTTAGGGTTCGAAAAAAAGACCATGGTAAAAATAAATACAACTCAATGTGAGCCAGTGAAATAGCATCACGTCACATAACGTCATCAGTAAAAATGACTAATTCCTATTCATTTCAAACGAGACACGAACGCCGATCCCCTGGATGAAAGTCCTATGTGTTTGAGGCCAGACTGCCAAGAATGTATGTTTAACATAATCCGTTAGTGACAATAAGAGTGACAAAAAAGAGGCCTCAAAATCTGATCCATCAACACTTTAAACACTCTTCTCTGTTCTGACTGATTATGAGTGAATAGTCAAACAAAAGTGGGACCACAGTGACTTCACGTGGCTTGTACCTCCTTCATCTGTATAATAAAGAGTGCAGGAGCAACATGAACTGAAACACTCTACCCTATGATTCTTCTAATCCCAATGAAATGACATCTTCTCTGAGGTTTAGCGATGCCCTCCTGTCCAGGATAACTGCTGAATAGGGTGTCTGGGCTGAATGACATTTATTAAACAGGGTCATTTTGGTCCATCTATATTCTGTTAAGCATTGGGAAATTCATTGCCGCTTCACTGGATAGAGGCAGGCTTGCCAAACTGTTCCCATCAATGGCGCTGTATCCAATCACATCAATTTTCATCAGCTGAGTGAGCCTCGGGGCACACTACCATCTCTTGTCTTTTAGTCTTTTGCCTTTGTCTTCAACCTTTAGCTTGGAAAATGACAATGTACTTTTGTTTCAGCCTCTGATTTAGAGTTAGATATCACTCATCACTTAATTAATTGCTCTAATTGTGTGTATGAAAAAAATAATTGTGCTTTTGATATCAGCGATTTAGGATTCACGAAGCGTGAATGAAAAATAACAAAAGGCTGCTTTGCACAACCTGCCTCCCCCTTTCTCACCCAGCTACAAAAATCTCCAGGTCTCCGTCCCCGTCCACATCGGTGACGGCCACGCCGTAGTTGAGCTGGGTGGGGTTGTTGTCATAGTCGGGAGGAAGGACGGTCTTGGTTATAGCTGAGAACATGGGCTCTGATCGCTGAGCCGAGGAGATGGCAGGCAGGAACATAACCAGCCACAACAACATCCTCACCTTAACGAAAAAACACAGTTTTTAACAGATGAATTTGAGGAGGGCTACTGTCATGCCCTTTGTCTATTTTGCTGCTTCAAAAACCTCTGAAATACATTTTCCAAAGAGCAAAAGTGCAGCACTAATAGGTCTGAATTAAAAAATTAGAACAATGCTGCTGCTGTTCATCTGTAGAGAAGACACACACACACACACACACGTAAAATCATCACAATTCCCATCCAACAAATTCACACACATTACTCTTCGACTGAACTACAGCGCACTGTTATTCTAGCTGTCGAGGCAAATGAGAATCTGAGAAGCTGTAAGTCATACACTTGCAAACTGCAACACATGCTCTTGTTGCTAATTCTCCAAATCCATCGTGAGGCAAACATCAGCGGATAGTTGGCACAGCTTCCTCCAATACTCAGACATAAAGATGAAGATATACCACCACAATCAGCAGCCTTCTGCAGGGTTAGATCTGAACAACCCATCACAGGCAGACGGCTGAGGAATTACAGGACAGAAAATCCATACATGGAGCAGGGCATTAGCCAGAGGCCAAGTGAACACAGAGGAAACCAATGATGGGATATAACAGAACTGAGGTGCTGTTTCCTCAGAGACGGGGACCAAGTCTAAACTGGGCAGGCTTTTTTTGGATGAAAGGGCTGTGTGATGTATAAGTGTCCTTTTAGTGGCCGGTAGATAAAAGGTGAACATGGAGGAATTGATCCAATCGACTTGTGAAGTGCAGGCAGGTAGAGGTGAGCTTTCTGATGCTCAAACTGAAAAGAGAGAAGAGAAACTTGACTGAGGGGATAAAGGAAAGAGAAAGGTCACCTCATTAAGGCTAAAATAAAACACTCATCACCAGCAGCGCTGCAAAACTTCAAACACACTTAATGGCATTTACAAGCTGACTACTTGATTTGCTCTGCCAGTGGATTTATGTGCACAGCCCTCATCATAGCGCTCATTCCATCTGTAATGCCATTGAGCCGTTCCCATCTCTGCCTCCGTACTGCTGCAAATTTCCCATTTTCTTCTCTATGTGTCCGGGTGATGTATGGCTCTTTAACATCTCCCTCAACAATTCAATTTAAGATAAAAAACGCATTGCCGTTTGAGTAATACTCTCAAAAGCACGTCGGCCCGGGAGAGGAAGCACCTCCGCTGACACCTGCAGAAATATGGCCCGGGCTAATGCTAGCTCTGCTGGCAGGCGGCGCAGTGATAACGCTGGCTGGAGAGCTAGTAGCGATGTGTAGACTGTGTGCTGTTAGCGACAAGGGTTAATTAACAACACTGGGAGCTCAGGATGAGGCAGTTTTTCCCCATTAGAACAGGATATAATGACAAATGGGCTGGGCAGTTCCCAACTACAGAATGCAGCTTTACAGACTGTCTCCTATACTCCATGTTAGATAGGGGCTGCAGGCTATAAATTAAAAGAGAAGGAAAAGGAAACTTGAAAAATAAAAAGAAAAAGGGTGGTGGAAAAGGGTTCGCTCTTGAAGTATTTTTGTTGATGTGAGGATGCACTTGGACAATCCTTTTAAGATGAATTATTAGATAAGCAAACAATTACTCTTCAGTCACAGGTGGGCAACTGAAATTTAATGTCCATACAAATAAGGATGAAATATATGACAGGGCTTTATTCCCATGGTAGATCCTGAGGCATCAGTCTGTGTGTAGTTTTTGTACCCCCAGTACAGCATGCGTACCCTCCACTTATAGGCTTCTGTTTAAAATTCCAACTGATACATGCACAAAGGAGCTCTTAAACCGATTCAATTTGCAGCACTGAGCTCTGTATTGTCAGCCAGAGGGTAGCTGCTCACACTGAGAGTACAGAATTATAATATGATTTTGATATTTTTTACCAATGATTTTCATCGCAGTCTAAACCAAATGTGATAACTTTGATTTTAAGGATACATGAAGAATCCAGAACAATGCAGTTATTCCACTCCTGATTACATTCTGCAGAACAGCTTGATAAGACAAAAACATACGACTCCATATGGACGCAATCTATTCTCTGGAGTTGCCAAGAACATACCCAGTCAACATGAATATTCCAGTTTAAAGTGCTATCCACGTGGTCACTAAGATACGGACCGAACTTGTGTAATTGGCTGGTTAGTTATGTATAACCACCGGACTGTGATCACCAACTTCAACTGTAGCATATTTCAGTTTAACACCTGTCTGAAAGAGAAAAAGTAAAATATTCCAAATAGTTCAGTCATAAGAAGTAATAACTGAGAAGAGGGATGTAGAAAAAGGACAGATTGGAACCATTGGGGACCGGCCAGATAAAATGGTGGGGTACTACATCATCCATTCAAGGACATATAGTCGCTTTGCCCCACGTTCACTGCAGTAAGGTAAGGACACCCCACTTGAGTCGCCAAGTAAAGTTGCAATGTGACTTTTCAACAATTGATGCACTAGGATGTTACATCTGTGGGATCAACAACAGTTCCACTATAAGAACAGGAAGCATCAAATAAAGTCATTTGTAGTAAAACAGCCATGAAATAGCCTTGGAAAAAAAAAATCATTGTTTGAAGCAGAGAAATGTTTGCGATTTGGTTATTTATGTTGGCATTAAGAGGCCATTACCACAGCGTGCAACATCAGCATGTGCTTTCTGGAGCGTTCAAGCCCGGCTCTGATCCTGATAACACTGCGACAAAGAGCCAGCAACATCTTCAGTTTCAAACACGCTTCCAGAGGCTCTTCTCTGTGAAGGACACAATCACTGCAGGACACACACACACACACATACACACACACACACACACACGCAAAGTGCTGCACCAGTTCCAGTGAAATACACTTAGCAGTCACACTGAGCATTAATGTTAAGCTCCAATTCATCCATCATTTACCAAAGTGGATATCACACAATAAAACACCTCATTCCAGCAAAGACAGTGCAGCAACTCACTATAGAGCCTCAACTGCTTCACGACCAAACGCTGGTCACATGTTTTAAAACATTCAATAGTAACGGACAAATGATTATTCAGTTGTGATAGTTGCAGGAGTTTTTATAAAAAGTTACACTCTTGATCTATCTATAATATTTTGTATTTTTCAAACATTAAATAGATCAAATTCACAATTATAAATGAATAAAAGTAAGAAAGCAAAAAGCAACTATTTGAAAATAAGAAACTCTTGGGGAAAAAAATCCACTGTGTCTGAAGCAGTGATTCATCCGTGCAGGTGATAATAAAATAGTAGGCTATCTGAATGAAAACTGACAACCACGCATCTTAATCTGTTCAATTAGTATTTGCTATGTGCAGAAAGTTGCAGGCAAATCCGGACGGCGATCAACTTTCTATCGGCGCTCTCTCTGCAGCAGATCCCTGCGGAGCGCTACAGTCATCCTGGACCCAGAGGAGGGCAGCAGCTCCAGCAGCAAGCAAACTCAGGTACTCACAGATGCAGAGACGCTCGGAAACTCCGACAAATCCTCCAGCGTTTGACAGCAGCCAGGAGAGGGAGAGGGAAATTACGTTATAGTCAGTTAATTGTGCGGTGGATGCCGCAGTTATCTCAAGGGTTTTCCCCACTTATTCCCTTTACACAACTTCCAAAAGATTTCCTTTATGAAATTACTTGTGTGATATTTCAGCCAATCGCCGGACAGCTTGTGAAATATTTAAACGCGCAGCCAATAACAGCGCTGGATAGCAGCAGGTGGGCGTGTCCCCAGGTGCTCATTATAATGATGTCAGTGAGGCGCAGCTGGGATGTGGATACATTCTGGGTCGTCTTTATTGTTTTTATTTAAGTATTAATTTACATGTGGACCAGCTACTGTAGATCGACTAGCTAATGATTTTATTATATTATATATATTCACATATAATCAAATGATGCCCACAAATTGATTAATCCCGTCTCTCTCTCTCTCTCTCTCTCTCTCTCTCTCTCTCTCTCTCTCTCTCTCTCTCTCTCTCTTTTTAATTTTTTTTTTTAGAAAAAAAAGGAATACTTAATAAGTAATACATGAATAAAATGTGACCAATCGAAGCGTAAGAAATAATGTATTGTGGGCGTATCACTGTAACTTCAGGTAAAAAAAAGTTAACGTTTTTTAACTTCTTGATGCATATGCAGTCGTGTGATGTTAACTTGGTTTTAGGGGGTCCTTACGTTAGCAATTATATCTGACCCCACCTTACAAACACTGTAGTTTGTAAACAAAGCATTAAACAGAATACTTTGTTCAATAACAATCAGTTTATGAACACAAAACGTTTCTTTTCTTCTTCAGAAAGTCAAATCTTCTTGACATTTGCATATTCTTATTTATATTGACAAAAACAACTTATTTGCCCTTAAAGGTTTTAGTTTGATGTATTAATAACCTTACTGAAGTAATTAATGTTATTGAAGGAAACACTCACATACACTCTTTTGTGTGCGTGTGCGTGTGCGCGTGTGTGTGTGTGTGTGTGCGTGTGTGTGTGTGTGTGTGTGTGTGTGTGTGTGTGAGAGAGAGAGAGAGAGAGAGAGAGAGAGAGATTGCCGGTTTACTGCTGCCAGATCCTTATGTCATGCTCCACTGAGTCCAGCCTCCCAGAGACCCCCAATGAAATGAGTTGTGTGTGTGAGAGTGTGTGTGTGTGGTTGTGCACAGCCTGGTGAAATGAGATGTTCACATCCCAAGGACGTCTCCCACCATAATTTAAACTCACTGGTGCTGGAAGACTTCAAACTGAAAGTGCTGAAGTCATAAACCAGCGCACTTCTGTCTTTACTGTTATTGTCTGTGATCTACTGGTGTAAATCCACAGGCAGGTGGCTGTGACTCAAACAATGCAAATACTACAACAGATATGTTAAGCATCTCTATGCTATGATTGCTACAAATTTGCTCCAGGCTATAAAATTAAGTTAATGACCCAAAGAGAACACTGCTTTTACTTGTTTCCGTTGCTCTTGTGTTACAGTTTATCACCGTGATTTACAGGGTGCAGGTTGTTCTCTGACACGGTCGCAAAATGTGAAGGGTTAGAGAAAAAGAAAATGCTCCATGCTTGACGTACTGCAGGGCATGATACCTTCAGCTATTTACACCCTGATCTACAGTCTCTCACAGCAGAGACCAGAGTGTTTTTATTTATGAGGGGACAAACAGACATCTATCAGCACTCAGCTGAAGCCAGTGACAGTGTATAGTGTGACTTTGAGGTGGAGAGTGAGTGTATTCCTTCCCCCGGGGCACATTGGGACAAATCCCAGACAAGATGTTGTGGTTTGTGACTCGACACACACTCATCCAATGCTTCTCACCACCTTATTTCACCCCTCACCCGTCGCCAAGGTCACGCCACCCCTCCCTCCTTAGACGTGATGATCTTAAAATAGAGCGTCTTTAAGTGAAGATGAGGAATGTAGAAAGCTCAAGGGAAGAATGGAGTTTTTTTTTTTCTTTTACTACAGCAGGAAAAAATCTCCTCTTTCCTCTTTAAGGGCTGTTGAAAGATGTATAGCGCTACAGCATCATGATGAATCCCCTCCGTGGTGGATAGGAGAACACTTTTCATATCATTAAGCTTTAGTAATGGTCCCAGTGCCGTGTCCCCTCTGGCAGGGTTTGCCCGGCATTCACTCCTCTGGCTAACAGGCCTGCTGGCTACCTACAGTACAGAGACCTCAGAGTCTGCTAGAGCAGCGCTTAGTGAAGCTGCTCGATCCAGAATGTATTCTCGACAATTTGATATTATATGTGAAATTTCCCACAAAGGAATGCAGTTTTTCAGTTTTAGGTCTTTTAAGAATACTCTCAAATAGCACAACATTTACGTTTTACTATTTGTGAAAAGCAGCGCAAGCACCTGGTTGACAAAACACACACACACACACACACACACACACACACACACACACACACGCACACACACACACTATCTATACCTAGTGAGGTATTTTATTCAGGGCTCTTTGGCAGAAGGGACATAACTGGACAAAATCGGTCTCTCTTTCATTTCAGATTGCTGTTTCTGTGTGAAATATGAAATTAGGGGAGCGCCCTTTAGATGTAAGCAAAGATCCCTATAGTGAGCACTTTTAAGAAGTGGTATTCCTCTTTCTAGCTATTTGAGGTTGTCAGATTGAAAAATCTTGTGGAGGAAAATAGATTTTGTGAGCTGTTTGCTGTCGCAGAAGTGGAAAGTGAGTCCCATTTTCTATTGTATTAAATCTCGAAGTCTACTTTGTCTCAAAAGCAGCCAAGATGGAGTATTTCATTTGTTTTGATGGTTACATAATTATGTTTTATTAGTAATGTAGGTGTTCTGTTGTGGACACAAATGTCTGATATCTGGTTATGTAAAGTAAACCCCATTGATGGACTTTTCTGTATCTGATTTGTTCAATAATGTGTCGTGCATACTTGACACTGCTGCATGACACAATGAAGATACATATAACTTAAACTTTGTATTATTTTTCCGGAAAACATTTTTGTTTGTTGAACAGTTCATCTCTTGTTTTTCACCCCCCTACAGTCTTTTTCATACTCTGTTTCATTTCATGCTCAAAATACATTTGAAAACATTTGATTTTCTGTGTGGATGATTTCCATCTCTGATCTTTGAACCTGTGCACAGACTACTCTACTATACTCACCCTCCAGGGTGTGAGCGCATGTGTTACAGCTGCTGTTATGCACTTTCTATAGCACACACACACACACACACACACACACACACACGTACCCTCATGCTGGGATATAGGTTTAGCCAACAGGGTCCTTCATAGATCAGCCTCCCCTGACAGCTCTCTTAAATGTCCTTGGCAGCCCCCCAACCCCCAGCTCTCGTCCCCTCTCCGTTCCTGCACCTTTTCCTCTCTGGTCGAGCCTCTGATGGATGCTGCCATATTTTTCTGCCTCTCTCCTCGGGAATGCTCCCATAACCACTGGGCCCTGTAATGCATGACACAATCTGTATATATCCCATTAAGTGTCACTGTGTGAATGAACCTGTTTCTCCACATGCAGTTTGCCTTGTAGAATGACAGAGGATAGAGGCTGGAACCTGACCAGCTCCTCTAAAGTCAAGATAAATGTCTCTCAGACCCAGAGTTAGCCGTTTAGATATTCCTACAGCTAATGTTTCTATTGGAAAAAATGTTCAGCAGCACTGAGTTCATATTTGAGTTTATATGCTGATAATTATTTACATGATCTGCTTCTGTAGCTACATTTTTACCAAGTGTCAGTTTTCTTTTTTCCTAAAACAACAACTCATCTCCTGAAACCCGACGTCCTCACAAGACTGTGAAGAATTGCACTTGAAAAACTGTTTATTTCCTCTTCGCCCTCCGCAGTGCCCAACTAATATCTGTTTTTTTTTTTTACATCATGAGGTTTTGTACACACTCTCTGCATTGCTATCAATCACATTTTTAATTTAATGTATGAATATGTGATTTATGTTGCTCGGGCAGAAGATATAAATCTATTTTGTGGAGAGAGAGGGGGGGGGGGGGTTGGTTGGGGGTAAGAGCGCTGATGTTCCCTTATTGATTGGCTGGCTTAATAGTGTTTGTTCTTTATAGCTGATCTCAGGAAATAAAGCAAATAAATAGTTGAGACTCAGTTCAGTCACCGCGATGCTCACGAGGATGGGAGAGAGACGGACTGAGGAGGAAAGAACAGGAATAGAATAGTAAGAGAATGAAACAGCAGCATGTCCTTATACAATGTAAAAGATAAATACTGTCGATTCATATGCATATTGTCAAATTAAAGATGCTTCATTCAATTGATCCACAAAGTAAGAATTCATTACTAGAATGACCTTTCCTCTCTTGTATCCTTTAAGACTAACTAAACCAGGGCACACGTCACATTTAGTTTCCATCACTTTTAGATGAAGCTGGTGCATTGAGCTATAATACACTTTGCTTGCAGGTATATTCCTCTGTGTGTTATTGACATCTTGCCGCAACGTCATAAGTGACAGGACATGATGTTTCTCTGTAAACCCAGAAGCCACATGGTTAGATGTCAGTCTTGAGTCACATATTTTCTGCTAATGAAGAGTGGCAGGCCATTATTTGCTCTAAGACTGCTTTATAATTCTCAAAGGATTTGTCAAATTGATGTGAAAACAGAACTGTGGTTATCGCCCAGCACCAGGCTCCTTGGGGGAGTGATGGATAGAATTTGTCTTGACATGTCAAGTTAGGGAAAAAGAAAGGAATTAGTTGAGGTTCAGTATTCTTGACTTTATGTTACGTATTAAAGTCATAACTGTGCATGGATTTAAGATCAGATTTATAATGGGAACAAATCATAATTTTAGTATTTCTCAAGATCATACAGTAGATCGTGCATCAGTTGTCTGTCTCCAAACCTTAACTATAACCCATGGAAGAAAACTCTGAAAAGACCTCAGATCAGTGACTTTTTCCAACTTGGTCCGCACTGAGAGGAGGAGAGGACAGCATAAATCCAGCCCATTAGCCCTGAGGTCTGTTGATGACAGTTCCCGCCCCATGGCTGATGTAAACCAAACTTCCTGTTCGGAGATGAAGAAGCCTGTCA